TCTTTATTTCTTTCTCCAAGCAGATAGCCATAAACCTATTAATCTGCTGGGACATGAAGCACTGGTATCAAGCTTTTTACCACATCTGCATGACTAATCAAATGTACAGGAAACCATTCTATTGATAGCATTAACCTTTTAATTAGAGATGCTGTCAAGGGACTATCAGACCTAAAAGCCTAAGTATTTTAAAGGAGGGCCATGCAGGGTCATCACCATCAACATCATCATCACTAACCCCCCTCCTCACGGCTTTAAGTGTGGAGAAATTAAACTTGTCATACCCTGTGCTGGATTTTATTGTAACTAGAATGATGGTGTTGGTAAATGCCAATGATTGGACTCCCTATTGTTTGGTCGCTTTAGTACTGTGTGACATAATATTTCAACCCCAATGCTTAAGTTGTTAGGAGAAAAACTAGCAACGTTGCCGTTGTCATCAACATCTCAATAAGTTCCTTGTTTTTTGGCTCTAATAGGTGTTTTTCGTTATTATTTTGGAGGTTAACAAGTAGTAGCAATTTTGAATTAATTCGAGAAGTGCATGTGTTCTGATATGTGGCTGTCATCCACCTAACTCTTCTTTCCTACTTTCCATGTTAGGATTATGAGGCCAGAAGATACATAAATCAGATAGTTGAAGTGGAGGTATATATTCATTGAGTGAACATATTTTATCGTATATGTTTCTATCCGCACATATAATGATAAACTATTATTTCTTCCCTTTCCTTGACAGAGTGGGACACGTACAGAGGATTACCTGCAGAAATTAGACAGAGCACTTGAGGCATGTTAATTCTTGCATTGTTACTGGAACCTTGAATGTCCTATTATATTGGCTGGCTTGAATAATTTACTGCCCAACAATTGTTATGAATATCAATGCAATTTTTAGTATTTTATTCTAGCAAGGGTAGGCAGAATATTTTGTCAAGTTTCTAATTCTAGGTGATCGCCAAAGTTTAAAATGATTGTTTTATGTATTGATTTGTTTCTTTCCATGTAATTAAGATTGCTGGCCATATGTTTGATCCTGAGTTGGTCGTTTATAATGCTGGAACTGACATTCTGGACGGTGATCCATTGGGAAGGTTGAAGGTAATGTCATTCATGGATTCACTTCATTGCAGTATAAGATGAACCCCCTAAACTTTAATAGCTTGGCCATTATTTTCTTGATATGTGGTTTCCTTGAGAAAGTTGTAAGTTGTTAATATGGGATTGCGTTTATTGTTGGTTTTTTCATCATTTTCTACAGTGGTTATTATAATGGTTTGTACATGCAGATCAGTCCTGAAGGAATTGCTCTTCGGGATGAAAAAGTTTTTCAATTTGCGTGTGAGAAGAAGGTTCCAATTGTCATGCTCACATCAGGTCATTCCCCCATCCCCTTTTCCCTCTCCCAAATATAATACGAAACACAAGGGCCCTGAAAACTTTTTTTCATTGGATCCCATGGGCATGAAAACCTTTTATCTCTTAAAAATGACCCGAACCTAAAAATTATAATCACATTAGAATGTGACTGTTTTGCAGTAAAATAGTCATTTTTTTTTCAAGTCACTGCTGAATGACCATATTTATTCTTTTTGCCTGTTGTGTATATTGTTCGGATCTTTTCAGTATCAAATTTGATAGTGAGGGTGTCCCTGATAGTTCGTCCCGATCTTTTCCATATTCCATGCGGAAGTAATTGTATCACTGGCGCCAAGATTACTTATTGTAGAACTTGCACGGAACACTTCTTTTTAAGTGTTTCGTCAACTTATCGCAATGCCTTGCTGGTCTTCCATTTCAGGTGGTTACATGAAGTCCAGTGCAAGAGTCATCGCAGATTCTATAGTCAATCTTTCGAATAGATGTTTGATCGATACTAGACAAAGTTCAAAGTTTAAATAAGATGCTGTGCAATTCCAGGTCCGTGGCCAGAGTTTCCAAAGCATAATCTGGATCAGAATGTTGCTGTATAAGTTGAACTTCAGTGTATAGTTTCCCCCTCCTATAAAGGAGGTGCAATATAGATCTGAGTTGCTAGTTTTTATCTGTTGACGTGAAAATGGAGTCTGCATAAATGAGTTATGTTTAGTGAATAATTTTTCACTTTGAAGCATTCAATCAACTCACCCATCATCTTCCAAAATCACCTCTGGTTATCACAACAAAATAAAATAAAATAAAATAACCTCTGGTCACCCTTGAAATAGACGATGGCAAGTTAATCACGTGACAACACGTGGGCTCATTTTTCCTTTTTTCAGATCAGAAGACATGAATTATAAATTTACATGCATCATAATTATTTGTTTTTTTTTTTTCAATGAACTGCCATATATTAACATAGATTCTCTGTAATGATAAGAGGATCCCTTGAAGAGAGAGACTGTGTTTTACCATTTTCTCCGTTTTAGTGGTTCCTCTACCCACTGAAGTAGGTCTAGATCTGTCATGTATGGTGCAGAATAAGTGTAAAATTGAGATCAAATATCGGAAGGCTCTGCAATACCCAGTTCAGCTCTTCCATGACAGAGTCAATGGCTGTTTGACGGAGGCCATATATCCATTGTTCTTATACTTAACCCCCGCCGAACTTGATGAGCGATGACTATTTCAATGACGCGATGACAAAGTGCATTACCTCAGCATTTGAGGCAGGACATGACTGTTCGGAAGAGAACTTGCTTAGTTTAGCTGAGAAACATGGTTTCTTTGTTCTGTTCATGTCCGCGAGATGATTAAAAAATTGTGCCTAACACGACGTTAGGAATATGCCATCATCTAGTTGATCGGTGGACGTGATCGACCATTACAATGGTTGATTGCTTCATTTGAAAGCGTGAAAAGGTAAATAGCAAAATTTATCAATCAACTCACAGGAATAAATGAGGATGGAAGACAATTGACATGGAGGCAATGAAAAGCTCACGTTCGCACTCACGAGAGGTGACAGACTATGCGGGAGCTGTCGGCCATTGAGATATGAACCGAACAGGGTCCTATCTGAAAACATTTGCGCCTCTTCTCTGATAATTCAGGGACCGATCTGAAAGGATTATGCTAATCAATTCTGGGTCCGATCTTTAAGTCAGTGTTCTTACTTTTTTTTTTTTTGGACTGAAGGGCAGTGTTCTTACTTTTAATAATGCATGTAAAATCACACGCATTCACGGCTACATACATAAAAGTTCATACTCTCTCATAAAATTTAAATTTAATTAATTATAAATATTTTAAGATTTCAGTTTCCAACTTAATTGAATCAGATTAATCAGTCATTTCACATATCCTTTATTTATAAGAATGATAATTAAAATATCCTATTTTTTTCCTTAAATATGGTTACATTATATTTAATAGTTCTTCCATTTAAAAATTAGTTGCCCTTCATGTACTTCAAGGGAGATTAATCCCACCACCACCCCACCAGCAGCAAAGGATGCTCTTCGTTTAAAGAAAATTGTCGTTCATTTTTCTATCCTATAAGAAATTATATCTTCTTTTTAAATATCATACTAAGAATGACTAAGTTGATGTTAAACTGAATATGAAATATTGATTGTATTTTGAATATCATAGTAAAAATGATTTTACAAGTTTGTTTTTTTAGAATATGAATTTTCATAAGAAAACTAATTTCTTAAAAAATTATTAAAGAATCAAATCTTTATATGTAGAAAATAACAAAATTAATTTAACAAAATATGATTAGAAATAGTGTGATTTACCTCTTTGGTTGAATTAGGGAAAGAGATTTAGAGAAAATCCATAGAAACAGAGTGAAATTTTTATTATAGGAGAATGTACTAGTTAATTTTTTTTAACAATGTACTTATTCCGATTTTTAATATAATAGTTATTGACTTATTTGAATAAATTAAGAAAATTAGTTATATTAGTTATTTATAATAAATAGATATTTTTCCTGAAGTATCGTTACTAGTCAAGTGTGTTGGCTAGAGTTATTATTATTATGATAACTATTTTGAAAAAAAAATAGATAAACATAAAAGATAAAGTGCATTGGAGTTTTATATTTAAAATTAAAATAAAAATTAAACGAGCTCTTATATTATATTATGATTCAAAAGTAATACTAGTTTTTTTTTTCTGTCTTTCTCATTTTCCCTTATTTATAAAGCCATTTTATGCTATTCATTCTTGTCAGGGGTGAGTATTCGGTTTTTCAGTTCGGTTATTAGTGATAACCGAATTAATAGAATAATCGAATAAAGTAAATTTTAAACACCGAACTGAAACCGATAACCAAACTAACCGAAACCGAATTAATCAAAATATTTCAGTTCGGTTAACCGATTAACCGAAATATATAAATATAAAAATAATTTTAAATTAATAATAATAAAACACAATTACAACAATTAATTAATAAATATTTTATCATTTAATGTGATTTATTACAATAATATTTACTATAACCATATTTATTGAATATAAATATATTTAAAGAGTTCACATAAACCCACATATATATTTATTAAACATAAATATATAATATATTTATTTTGGTTTTTCGGTTATAATCGAATTCTTTTTTTACTAACTGAACCGAACACCGAAACCGAATTATTACAAAAATAAAAACCGAATATGTAACCGAAAACCAAAATAACCGAACCGAAAAAATGAAATTAAATTCAGTTTCGTTTGGTTTTCGGTTACAGTTCGGTTTTGCTCACCCTTAATTCTGGTCATAAACTTTTATATCATTTTCATGCATGTACATTCTTTCCAATAACTTCCATATAATGTAAAAACTGTGGTTGCTAATTAAATAGAAATATATATGGGAAAATAAAAGAGTGTGATTATATTAATCACCTGAATTTAAAATTGTTAGCCGGATCAAGGACAAGAATTTTACAAAATAACCACCGGAGAAAAGGGTAGCATCGTCAAACGTTGATTTTGCGGCAAGTTGTCGTGCAATAAATTATGACTGCAAGTTGACCCTTCACCTCCCTGTCTCCCTGGTCCTCGTTGTTCTCACTTCTCAACTGCCCTCATCCTCTCTTGGCTGTTCCGTCGGAGGGCGCTGGTCACCACCTCAGAATCCGCTGCTAAACGGCCCTGTTCTCCTTATCATACGGTCGCCGGCGCAGCAATGTCGAGAAGTAGATCCCCATCGTCCTCTTATCACTGTCAATTGCTTGTCGTATTTATTCTTCTACTTCCTTTCTTCTCACTTGCTTTAAGGCCAGTTGTACCGGATCGGCTTGACCTTGTCAATACAACTGAGTCCAATGTCTCTCTGTCCCGGCCAAGAGAGGGCAGCTTCGCCGACATGATTGATCGAGCTCTGGAGCACGAGTTCACTGAGCCCGATCAAATTGAAGGTTCCTGGATTCGAGTTCCTTTTGTCTGTGTAACAGTTTTTGAAAATTATCTATTTCAGCTTGATTGTATGCTTCCTGAGGATTTCTTATGAAATCTTTACTATGCTATTTGTGCCATTTTATTTAATCTCTCCAGATCATGAAATCTGATCTGTGAACATGAACCATTTCCATGTCCTCTCTGCTCTTTGATATTTCCCTGGTAAAAGGAAGATTCTTCTAAATCCAAATTATGTGCATAGCTATTTTGATGCGGCTTATTATTTTGCATGTCATCTTTTCTCTTTTCCTTTCGGGCGCGCGCGCATTAATTTTCATACTTGATATATGTAATTGGAGAAATTTCAAATATGTATATCGTTACATTTATGTTGTCCTTTTGCCTCTTCGTGCCAGCAGTACCTGATAAAGGAGGCTTTAACAACAGTGTAGCAGAACAGCAGGTTTGTTATATCGTGATCCTTGATTTCAAAATTTGAATAATGATAATATCTTGATTCTATTTGAGATTATTACATTTGTTGATGAGATTGGAAAGGTTATATTACGAAGAACACGCATTTCACATTTGCTTCATGAGTCATATTCTGTGACCAACATTGAATCGTCTTCATATGGTATTTTCCGCGAGGAAAGTGCGAACGTAGATTCTTTGAATTTGTTATATCTCTGGTGTGCACGTCTCTCCTTGCTTTGTGATGTGAATTTTTCAAAAGAGTCGATCTGGCTGGGCGTCCAGCCCTTAGTTTGTGATTCCCTAGGCTTTAATCTTCTCAATTCCACTTCCATTCTATCAATATGTTAGATTTTCTGAGTTTGATAGGATGCTGAGTGTTTTTCATTGCCTTATGTGTGGACCAGGCAGTGCTGGAAACGGTGGCCAGAGTTAAGCCAAAAAAGAATGACACGAAAGAAGAAAAGTACATGTTTCAAGTTTTAAATTAGTTTGAGTGTATCTTCCAATCGCACGAATTGGCTTTCTGCAATTGAGCACTTAGTACGTACTTTTGTTTCAATACGGATAAGTATGCTTTTCTATTCTAACAGGTCATTTCAATTCCATCATGTATTCAATTTGGACAATGATAATAGAGCCGAAGATACCCCCATGTTAATAGATCGGAAGGTGAGGTGACACGTTTATAGGTTTTCCCTTTTAGTGATATTCAATTGGGTGTCTAAATTCTGAATTCATAAATTATACGCTTTTCTTACAGGACAATGTATTTATAATTTCTAACTTTAAATCCAAGTATCCAGTGCTGCAGCTAGATTTAAGGTAAATGTAATTAACTCTCTCTGTTTTCTAAGTACGTAGACTTGATTACTGATGTGAACTTGTTTTAACGATTGCATTGTAGATTAATTTCAGACCTTGTAGTTGCAATTGTCTCAGCAACTTGTGGCGGTGTTGCATTTGCCTTTGCTGGACAACCGGTCTGAACATTCTTGTTTTGAATTTAAATCTTGAGAACTGCAATCTTTGGTTATGCTGTAACATCTTTTTGCTAGAACTCTAACATAACAACCCCAAACTATAATTTTACAGGTTATTACTGGATATCTGCTAGCAGGCTCTGTAGTTGGACCTGGGGTTTTAACTTCATCAGTGAAATGGTGCAGGTAAAAGAATGTCAAAGTCTCTCTTCTCCTCTTTTTTTGTTTATATTTATCAAGATGGGTCTATCTACATCTTTGGTACACTTCAGTTGGACTTTGTTTTTGTGATGTTCTTAATGCGTGAGAAAAGATGATCGTAACACCTGACGAAATGCTGGATATTTATGTGCGACAATCTTGAAGCTCTGTTTCTTGTCCAATTATCTTTTATGCATTACTTGACCAGACATGACCTATCAATGAGAAAGTATTGAAGCAGAATACAAAAGTGTCATGCTAGCGTCTAAAAAGGACGTCATAATATGATTGTATGCTTATCAGATTTCAAAAACATTGTCTTATTTCCTCTGGAACTTTGTTCCTATATATATTGTCCATTGTATTCATGGCATGCTTGTAATTATGTTTCATGATACACATTACCGCCGAGTAGTTATCCTTAAATCAAAATAAATACTGTTTACGTATGTAGGTGGAAACTGTGGCTCAATTTGGTTAATATTTCTTCTGTTTGCATTGGGCCTGGAGTTCTCCATGACCAAGTTGGCTTATGCTTCTGATTACTTTTTCTTTTTCTTTCCGTATGCGTTTATGCAGTAACTCTGAATTAACTACCTGTTACCTCTATAATTTCAGCTTCGAGTTGTTCGAGCAGTTGCTGTTCTAGGAGGCCTACTTCAAATTTTTTTATTTATGTGCTTATGTGGAGTTGCAGCCTTGGTATTATTTTTTATGTTTTTAATTTACACTCTGAGCTTTCTCTTTGTTATTCGTCTTTATCACATTCAATTACTTATCGTGAGATTCAA